AGTGTTCTAGATATAATTTTGAATTCCTAACTTCAACCACCCGGTAGGTACACCGTCAGAATCCGTTATCGCCAGAAACGAGCATGTGCTTATGGCATCTTTCGTAAGGGTTGCAGGGTCACTGGCATGCTTGTCTGCAGACGCAGACGCTCTAAGGACTGAGGCACGGATTATGACCTGCGTACTGCCTTGTAGGCGGACCTGTCGATAACGATGTCCTCCTCCTCCTCCTCGCCTGTCGGATCAAAGGGTAAAGTTTCTAAGTACCAGCGTCTTTGTCGGACTACATTCTATAGTATTATTATTATTGGTGTTTTATTCCTGGCAGTGTGGCCAGAGCCTTTCATACTCGCCAGAGTTTCCAAGACACCATAAAAGGACAATTTAAATTTGAAATCGAATGACCCATGTGCAGATTCTTGACCTCGATTTGGGCCCCAAAATGTACAGTTTTGTAACCCTTGTTTTTAGCAACTTCCCTTATTAGCATTTCTAGAATGAAAAGACTTAGCAACATATTTAAGTTGCGTTATTCTCATAAAGAACTTGAGATAAACCTCCAACAAACCATGACATACGACCTCTGAGATAAGAAACCTTGAGCCTTCCGAATACGACATGCACGCTACAACTTGGGACGCACAAAGTTGTGTATATGAAACACACAAGACTTTAGAAAGCGTGCAACTGAATTGTCCAGACGAGATACAGAGAAATTGCGACATCAGGAAACCGTCCAAACCATTCTTCAGCAATCCATAAGCACGCAGAAGAATTCTGCCGATATCACTGGTAAAGACGATTTTCATTTCAAGTCGATTATTCTGTGTAACGCTCTTCAATGACCTTCATAATTTAAATGCCACATTAGTATCTGGAAAATCGACTGTCAGTTTTACGCCAAAAAAATCTCAAAAAATAAACGACAATTCATGTAATGTAAGATTTGAGGCTGCCATTGCAGTAACATAAAGATGATGTTCTGCGCTTTTACGTCATGTGGACTCCTGGGTAGATACCAAAGTCTCAGAGAACCACAGTCTCCATCTTCGGAGACAAATATGTAGCCAGTATGTTTCTCCGAAACGTTGCTTTCTATCCACGAGTCCGCACAGCGTCAAAACCCAGATGATGATGATCATCATCATCATCATCATCATTTTCTAATTTAGAGTTTATAAAAATTAGTGAGCACACAATGAGCCGAAATACCTCAAGTGAAGACAGGACTTGAAGTTGACCGCCTAATTTCTAGTTTAAGATGCGTGTAGCTATAAACTCTACGTCCTGTACTTCATGGCATGATGCTTAGACACACAGGCTGCTTCACCTTCTATTTATAAAACACAAATCACTGAATTAATACACTAACAATTGTACGTAGCTCCTGACCACAAATCACAGACGACGACCTGCTAAGAACTTCCTCGGACAGATCTAAATGCGAACAGCCTCTGATATTACAGCACAATCGGAGTGGCCATGCAACTCACTTGAGCATCCAAACAAACAAGCTCAGTTGCTGCCATGAACACAAGTGCTGTGGTAAGTGATTCACCTGAAGCGACTGGCAAGAAGCCGAGAATAACAGGCACGTTAACAAAAAAATACATTCATGCCCCCATCCCCTCTTCAAAGGCACCATATCTTAGGGATACCGCCTCCCCACTTGCAACCCATCAACTTAGTCTTCACTTCCGCATTGATAAGTCTAACATGAAGCCAGAAAAGTAGTCTAAAAAAGCACAGTCTTTCATATCCCCTCAGATGTTTGTTTCCGAAGCACACCATCAAGGTCCAAAGCTTACAGAATCCATAATTAATTCCCAACCTTCATTCTACACAAGAATAAGAGGAGCTTTGTAAATCAGACAACAGCAGGAAGTTCGATAACGCTTTCGACAGCGTGAACATAATAGCGACTTTCTCAATAGCAGCGAAGTTTATGCAAATACTGTGTAAATAATACCGTTCGCATTTAAAATATCACTACCACTTTTCCCCTTATAGTGAATACGCCAGAACATGGACGGTATTGTGGCTCGTAAATAATAAGGCCTTTTTTTAACTGAATACGAAATAAGTTTCAAGTTTTCATAGGATTCGTACGTACGTCCACAAGAAAAGTGGTCCTGAATTAAAACGATCAAAATTAGGCCAAAACAAAAAATGATCGATAAAATGTGTATCGAATTGGCACAACACAGTCTTACCGAAACCGGTCTGGTAGCCCGAGCATTGTTACTTGCATACAAAGAGGATGCCCGATCGAAATCAGTATTTTATTAACACAAATCACGTCTGATTGCTACATTTCGAGACACAACAAGCAAAAATGCTCAACCTTCACCCTAAAGAATACTGTATTACCCTAAAAGAAGCAGATTCCCCTTAAAAGGCTTTCCGGCAGCCACGCAGTTCCAATTCTTTCGGGTCTTCTTCATGCAACTTTTAAAACCTCGTCGATATTTCAGTGGGTGTACCAGTTCCTGCCTCTCCTGTCCATGAAAGAATGTTACGTAATGGCGTGCTTTGTGTATCGGGAAATGAACAAAGCCTACAGACCAGAAACACTAATCAAGAAATCATGGTTTATTTTGAGGTACTGTTCATGATCATGCCAACCTTGAGCACAACAGAACGTGAAGGGCCTAGATATCGCAATGCCACGGGAATTTCACACTGCATTATGAATCGGATATCAAAATGTATTTAACCACTTAAAGCCGAGGCTTGTAAAGATATTTAAGAATTCAGTCCGTACCGCAAATAAAATACAACCACCACTGAATAGACCAGCTGGTTAACGTTGTTTACAGTTAGAAACACATAAATTAAAAAATGCAGACTTACTGATTGTCAAAGCAGGTAACACATTCTGTGCTTTAGGGGGTTCCTTTCGTGAACTACATAATAAATGAAGTGCTAGTCAGTCCTTATAGCGTTCAAATAGTACACACACCTAAAATAAAATTTGTTCGGTATACCCTGGCTATGTCCCCATGGAGTCGATAAGTTCGTCTCAAACCCTAGTAACTTCCCACAAGATCACAATCGACATTTTCACCGCCGTTAGCACTTCAAATCTCTTTTAATTTATTATAATGCTTTCCCCACATGTGATAACAAGTGAGTCCCACAGTCATGGCTTTCCTGGAATGTTTGTTTAGCTGGCAATAATTTTATTAATGCCATATTCCGATTTTGATCATAGTACATCAACTTAAAACACTGTTTCGATCTATATTAAAGAAACAGTTTAAGCAGTTCAAGCAGACTGTTGTGGAAGATAACAATAAATCAAAACAGGACGAAAATAATAGCAAAATTTGGAAAATTCTTGCTACCATTCAGTTCGGAATACTGTCTTCCTGCCTCCTATACATAAAAACCTTATAATTTTACTGTAATTTCTATGGGTGTCAAACTTGATCACACGTTAAAGAAAGGCTGCAGAGAAAAATTGGACCTAAACCAGAAGAAGTAATATGGGGCTGGAAGAAACTGTATAATGAGGACTTTCATAATTTCTGATAAGTGACAATATTTTGAGGGATGTAAAATCCTTAAAACGAGCTCATCACTGTTTGCCATAGGGATAATCCTCTCCTTGATGTTCATGTTGCTTTACGACAGAACTCGTTGCAAAACCAATCAATATCTACTGTTTCTTTTCTGAAAATCGGCTAGTTCTATTTCAGCTACATAAAAAGAATTAATACACCAGAGTTAAATGAACTGATAAGAACCACAAAATAACCTGACTGACTTTAGTCGAAATCCACATGAAACGCTTTTAGCAGAAAATATATAAACACTAATTTCAGATAAGAGGTCCCTGCTAAATATGCCATAGAACAACATCTAATACTGAACCATTGATCAGTAAATGGAACAGACAAAACACGTTTTGAAATGCCTGTTAGAATTATAATAAAATAGCAATAATAACAAAGCTATTGGATTAAAACCATATTAATGATATCTTTTAAACAATATGGTACCATAAACAGAAAAAAGAAACAAAAAGGCTTATTTCTTACTGTCTTAAAATGTATATAAAAGATGATCAAATCATCTGAAACATGTGTTGACTCACTAAAACTATTACTATCATATAAGGAAGTTGCATGGCTATTGATTGCTACCATTGAAAACATTGATGGAAACACAAAAAGGGCATGGTGCAACAGTTTCGTAAGGTCCAAATTATGCCAGACACTTGGATTAGTAGCACATTAAATTGTTCAAACACTGTTCACTGTTACTTTGTGAACGAAAGCCATTAATCGATGAGTTTGTTTTTCTCACTCTGTGAAACCTGGATTGATTTAGAAATGATTATCCTCTTCTCCTCCCCGACAGAACCGGCCACTTCTACCAAAGAAACAGTTATAGTAATTTTGTTCGTCTTATTTTTCACAATATATTCATAACGCAGCAAAATAATCTACGTTGTTACAACGGAAATCCAAGTCCCATATTACGGTACGCTGCTGCTTTACGATCTGCAGTCAGAGTCGGCAATCTGCCTGAACTGAATTGTAAGGACTAGTAGCAGCGTTATGTAACAGAATGACTGTTGGACTCCGATCTGTACCTTTGCACAATGTAAAGTTATTTACCAGAAACATTCCACTCGTATCTAACACAGTCGAAAATACGACATGCATGTACAAAAAAAAATTTAAATTAGCTTACACTCCCATTAAACACTTAACAAGAGGAACTGTTAACCCTTCCGATGCAATTGCATGAGAACAATTGTGCACTCTTACCGTTAGCAAAATTCTATTTTGAATCAGTTTTAGAATCTACAAGGACTCCAGTCAAGAATAATATCCTTGCAAGGGCCATTCCTACAACGCTAAACTTCACCTCACATGATGTGTTAAATACAAATGCTTTATTTTATTATAACATTTTAAATGACCCGATAATGTTACGTCATCAGAATAGAAACCCGTCTTCACTATCTAAATCATATATAAAGAACTAACCTTTACTTGTAACAGAGCAACTTGACTCATTCGCCTTACTTCCATTCTGAATATCATTTCTCACCGTATTATTAATTCCGTTTTCAGTTGCAGTATCTACTTGTGAACCGAGAGCCATATCACCACAAGCACAACTTTCGTACACTGCACGTGGGTTCGAAATCACACTTCTAAATGAATGCGATTGGTTACAATAAAATTTGTAGGCGGGGACAATGATCTTAAATTAATTTACTATGTAATCAAAACAACAAATACGTCTATCACTAATATCGCAGAGTAATCTGCTGCACCAAAACCTCTTTCTAATTTTTACGTCCTCTTAAAAGCAGACATACTCTACTATTCACAGATAATAACTGGGAAAAATCAGTTTCCGGTACGAACATTTCCACCACGGGTACCGCAAGAACATTCTGCACCTACGGAGCGCTGCAGTTACGTTTGTACGAAAAACTAGTAGTACCTACAAATCGTCACCAGATGACAGAGTGATCCTCCTAGCACAGAAAGGTTATTTAATACAGGTTTAAATTAAACTGAAAGGATAATTCATGCAACTTAACTAATTATTTATCACAAATGAAACAATAGAACAAAAATGGCGAAAAACATTTAACTCTCACAGTGAAAAAATATTGTTTAAAATTTAATCTCAAAAACCTGTCACAACATTTTATCAAAATCAAGAGTTACAGACAATAGTTTATATACTTTAATTTAATTGAAACGCGAAAATTCTCACTTACTATCCATAATAATTAAACTTTGTGGCACTAGAACCATCGTAACAGCACAGTGAGAGTTTAAAAGTCACAAAACTAAATATGTGCGAACGGAACTTTAAACATGTAAGACTTGAGGTTCTCACAGCGGTGAGTATGAAGATTTCTGTCTTCTGGGTTATTGCGCTGTGTAGTCTGGTCGATGTTAACCAACGTTTCAGAGGTCATACTGCCTCCGTCATCAGGGCGATGAATATGCCAATAGGAAACCAACCAACCAAAAAGCTAACCGAGGGCGGAGGCCTGCGCAAGCGCAAGCATCGTCCCTACCTAGGTGACACCGGGGAAGTCCATCTTCCCTGTTAAAGTTATCAGGATGAAGTTCGATCTCGATGGCTTCCCTGATTAACCGGTCCATGTAGCCGGTTTTTGAGGAGAGGATAGAAGTGTCCTCTAGCTGTATCTTGTGCTTGTGGAGCCTTTATCCATACAACTAAACTCACCTTTCTCTCTCTACTTTCTCTCCCACTCTCGCCCACGTGCTACCATTGGTCCACTCCCATACTTGCTCCCATGGGCGCGGGGCAGGCTACACCTTTCACTTCCCTGCCTATAAAATCCAACTCCTCACACCCTATTGGCATATTCATCGCCCTGATGACGGAGGCAGTATGACCTCTGAAACGTTGGTTAACATCGACCAGATTACACAGCGCAATAACCCAGAAGACAGAAATCTTCAACTTTAAACATGCTTGGAAAAGATATTTCTTTAAACGATATTTATTGTACCGTTTTCCAAATTAAATTTAGAAACAGCCTCACATAGCTCGCACACTTAATTTGTTGAAAAACTGAGTCCATAATACAAAAAGGAATTAAAAAAACAAAGCTGCACTACGACCACCAAGAGACTGTGAAAAGGACAAATACGAATGAGTACCTTGTTTATTAACATCTTGCAAATGAAGCTAAATACATCATCGAAAGATATCATCCGAAGTTTGAAACCTTGCTAAAACATATTTAGTACACCAAACATTTAGTTAAAGTAAATTTAATTTAATTTAATTCCCTTTTTGCCACTGATGATGACCTCTTGAGGTCGAAACGCGTTTGGCACTAGTGTCATTTATAGTGTAAACAGTTTGTTTGTATGATTATTTTTATATTCTAATACACTAAACCGTACGCAAAGTTTTAAGTACTTAATATAATTATTTTATTCTCTCTCTCATAGGGAAATTTCATTTGAGAAAATGCTAAGAGTCTAATACCAACATTAGAAATTTCCTAACAATCTGTGACTATAAACTTATCTGTACTTACAGACATTGCGCTTTCTGCTTTCTTATGAAAATGACAATAAACGACTTACATTAACGATTATTCTTATAAATAAGCTGTTAGACATCTAACAACAGTTATAATAAAGTCTACACATTTATCATATTCTCCTTTTGTATAATTTTTTTTATAATAATATTTATAGGAACACCCCCAGCCCCCTGAAGCACAGATGTTTAGTCGCCAAAAACGTCGACATTTTAAGAATATTAATATAATAGGGAAATTTCCTATAAATTTAGATGTTGGTCATTGTGGTCGTAGTTAATATGTTGGTGTATCGCAGTTTGGATAGCGTTGTTGTGTGAGGAAAGTAATTGTAAGTTGAATCGAATAGAATTTATTTACATTCCATAGATCCTTCATAGGCCTAAGCCAAGGATGTAGAACAGGTCATAGCCCAAATACAATACTTGTCTCTAGTACAAATATAAATACATAGTTATAACAGCTATTTACAGATTTTTGGAACTACAGTATTACAGCAAAATAATTATGATGAGGAACCATCACCATTGTTACTTACATGTATTTAAACATTTTTCTGCTGGGTAGAAGGAATGAGACAGGAGATACTCTTTTAACTCTGGCTTAAACATTTTTATATTGTGATTAAGGCTTTTAGTGTTTGAATTCTATATACAGTGTTGTTAAATTGTTCAAGTGTTTGTAAACATATAATGAAATAGGTATTGTGTTTCAGAAAAAGATTGTAAGTTATGTGATTAATATACAAATGTGTTACAGATGTAGCATATTGTATTTGTGCTATGACATGTTCTGCATCAGTGGCTTAGCCGTATGAATGATCAGTAGCTTGTAATTAAATGCTGCTTAGCCGTTCACTTGAATATCTATGAAGGGAGGCTGCCTTTGTAGTTTAATATTTGTGTTTTGTCATTTACAGGTATTTTATTTTGAGAGCAGTTTATTCTGATTTTGGAAAAGTATGGCAAATAATGCATTGGGACTGGATGGAATTCGCCTATCAGCCTTAACCAAAGCATCAGTTGTTGGCAAATTTGTAAGAGATGTTACACTTGGTCCAAACAGCAAGTGTGCTGATTACGATCTTTTGAAGAACAGAAGTGAAGTGAAGTGTGAGCTGGGTGAAAATTTCCCCCCCCTTTCTACAAAAAATTCGCATGCTTCAGGTGATGCAAGAAATTGTAATATGAATTCATGTATTGACAATGTGGAATGTGCTGGAGGAGAGGATTATTCATCACTGTCAACTATGAAGCTGTTATATGATCTGGACCAACAGCGTCAAAGGAAAGTGAAGGATTTGATAAATGAACGTTTTAGGAACATGATGAAAGATTCTCAGATTCGCCAATTGGAGTTTGACAGTAAACATCAGTACCTCCAGCATGAGATCCAAGCAAAAGTGCTTCAAGATGAGCAGCTGATTTTACGCCAACTGCAGGAAGATGAGATTCTTGCAGATCAGAGGCAACAGCAGTTGGCACAACAACACAAAAAGCATACTCAAGTAAGGCAGACTTTGTGCACAAGATTTTATTTGAACATATACGTAATTATGCAGTATCAGGTTACCTCTTTCTTTTTAGGAGTGGGTTCCAGGTATGACCTGTATTCCTTCTCTTTGACAGGCTACATCATATTGGTTTATTCTGTATATATATGATTTATTTACTGCGATTGGGTTTGCACCCAGTGGCAGTTTTTTAATCTTGTAATTTAGCCGGTTTTGTCATTTGTACACAGACTGTATATTATTACAGCAGAAAGAAATATGATAAATATGCCAACTTTGAGTAATAAAATACTTAAGACACTTATTACCAAGATTATTGCTACAACCTAATATTCTGCAATAGATGGTAATTTTCCAATTATATATTTATTTGGTTTCCCTCACAGTAGAACATTGGTAAGTTTTGATCACAAGTTCAAGCATACACAGTATTTTCATGCTTTTATGTGGTCCCAGAAAAATGCTAGGGTACTACAACTGCTTCTTTCCACAAACTTTCCAATTCATCTTTCTCGATCGTTTTCTCACACACTGTTATATATTCACTGGCGTTGAGAAATAATTTTTAACATAAAAATGCATTGATCCATAATTAAGACGTGAGTTGTTACTACAGTTATATTTGTAAATATTTTCTTTTATAGCGTATAAATGAATTGAATGAAAAGATTAAGGAGGCAGAAAGACAGAAAGAAGCAGAGGAGGAAGAAAGAAAAATAATAAAGGAAAGAAAGATCCAAATTGACAAAGTGCATCACTATTATATCGAGTATCGGACAAAATGCGAACAGATTGTTGAAGCATCAAGGTATGTTGTTAGTGGTCAGGTATAATAAGTTCTTTTATCTGTTGTAAATTAGTGTTATTCATGTTCTCCCTATCTTCCATCTCTTTGCTGACACCCATTTGCTTGATCCTATCCTATGCAAGTGTTATGACACAGTACTCTTCAATTAACATTGCTAGGGTGATTACATCAAGGAGAATGAGTAGCCTACAGAAGGAGGCCTCTTGAGTGACGTAGTTGCAGATGGGGGGGATAATATTAAAATGTGTTTTAGAAAAATATGATGTGATAGGGTTAACTGGATTCAGCTGCTCAGAATAGAGTCCCTTGGTGGGCTTACATGAACATAGTGTTAATCTGTGGGATTTTGTGAGAGCAGAATATTTCTTGGCCATTTCAGTAACTGTTCACTTCCTGAGAAAAATGTTTTACCATTCACTTAATTATTGAAAATCTGTTGTCTGAAATCACAGTCCTTGGTTTGGGCTGTAGTTTATATGTGACTTGCGCAGCAGTTGCCTTTTCGTCTGAATATGTGTCTTCTCAGTTTCACATATGCTAAACTAGAGGAAAATCCTGCTTTGACAAGATGTTGAAGGATGACTGTTTCTGGGATGTTGTGCTGTGTAGATTGGTTTATATAATATTGCTTTATTTCAGGCAATGTAAAGACAAGCAAGCTTTTGTAGCTGAGTTTTCTGATTATGCTTCCAAACTGAAGAGCCTGAATGTAGCCATGGATCAGTTGGTCGGACAGTGCAAGGTGAGAATCTATAATATTT